GGGCTAGCCCTGGTGGTAGGATTCACAGGTATCGGGCTCCTGGGCTGCAGCTGCTCTGTCACCTCTCCTGGCACTCAGGTGCATCAGTTCATTGTCCTCATGCCAGTGGTGGGGCAGCCCTCAATGCACAGGGTCTGAAAAATGCTCAGGTGTACCTGTATGTGTGAGAGGAAGGAGGCTGGCAAAGGTGCGCGTGGCCACCGCTAGGTGTGGGTCTTGAGGGAACTTCTGTCTCCTTTCAGGTGGCACAGAATGTGGACCTGTACACAGGCGACCCCAACCTGGGGCTGGAGCTGTTTGAGGCAGCTGGAGACATCTTCTCAATGGGGCCTGGGAGCGGGAGGAAGGCATGTCCTTCTACCGGGTGAGCTGGCCTGTGGGCTGATGTGGGTGGGCCTCAGTGGGGCACCTGGAGGGCTGAGGCACAGGTGTGGCAGGGTAGAGGTCTCCCACCTGGAGGCAGGGCCACCCATGCAACATGATGAGTTTCCAAAGTGGTCTCACCGGGAATAATATTGACCATGCCCCTGCCCGAGACAACGCTCGGGGCGCTGGGACGTGCCAAATGGTTCTACCCTTGTACCTGATGACCTCAAGGCAACCATGAGTGAGAAGTCCTGTCCCCATCTTCCAGATGAGGAAACTGAGGCTCAGAGAGGCACAGGGACAATGTCAAAGGACACACAGCATCAGTGGGAGACCCAGGTCTGCATGTTACCCCGAAGTGGGACGGGCTTCTCCTTCCTCTGAGCTCACAGTGTTGCTCAGCCCTGGGCACAGATAAATGTGTGTTTTTAGAGCAGAGAGGAGTGCTGGCTCCCCCAGTCAGACCCCCGGTGCCCAGTGGGAGAGGCTGGTCTGAGGGCTGTCAGGTGTAGCTGGAATGGGGCCTCAGTGACTCTTCAGCCCCCCAACTTGGTGTCTGAACTGGTGTTATCCCAGAGCACAGAGCTGTGTCGAGGTGCAGGGGTAGCTGGGCATGGGAAGCTCCAAGTACATGTTTGAGCTCTAGGAGGGCGCTGGGCAAGGTGGGTGCTGGGGAAACCTGACCCCACCTGCCTGTGTGGTAGGACCAGGCCCTGCCCCTGGAAGTGACTACGGGCAACCGCAAGTGGAGCTGCAGCTTCAGCTGTGCAAACAAGCTGGTGGCACTCCTGGCCACACTGGGAGAAGCCCCAGGAGGGCTTGGAGTTTGCCTACATGGCCCTAGCACTCAGCATCACTCTGGGTAAGTCCCCTGAGCCCCCCACCCTGCCAGGACCCACACTTTGCCAGAGCCCAGCCTCCAGGTCTGCAGGCCAGGAGCTGAAACAGCTGCTGATTTTCCTGGTCTCCGTCCAGGCAGGCAGATCTGCCCAACGGCTTCCCGTCCGGCTGTGGGGCACAGCCCAAGGTCTCTCACGCAGTGCAGAGCCCTGCCTGCCTGAGCTCTGCTTCCTCTGCCTGTTCCGCTGCTGACCACAAGGGCCGCCCAGTGTGCCCTCTGCCTTCCAGACATGCCAGGCATCTCATTGTCCCTGTGCCAGGCTGAGTGGCACATTCCCTCTCTTTGGCCCTTCCCACCATCATCAACCACACAGCTCTCTGGTGATAAAATCCCAGTCCCCTTCCAGCAGTCTGCCCTTAAGGCCGGGCATCCCCTGGTGCTGTGCCAGGGTGTCTGTCCCCCTCCAGACAGGGAACCCTAGGCAGGCCACATCCCCAGCGCTTGTGCCCCGTGGCCCATTACACAGTAGGTGTGCACTGACTCCCCAAGGTAGGGGGCTCTGATCGTGCCACACCCAGAGGAGTCGGATGTCACGTCTGTGGGTTGCCTGGAGCCGGGAGCCCAGGAGCACCTGGACTGCATGGCTTTTGGGTTCTCCTGGTTAAAACCAGTGAGCAAAGGCAGGTGGCTCTGTGTAGACACAGAACTGGGCCATCCAAGTCCGACTTTCCAAAGCCTCACAGTAGACAGGGCAGGCCTTATTAGTTCTGCTTGCACATGGGAAAGTGAGTCTGGGAACCTGGAAGGGACTGGCCAGAGCTGCCCAGGTGACCACAGGTGCCTGGAGGCAAGCCAGGCATGCAGCCCGGGGTCTGCATACCTGCTCCTGAGGGGCCTGAGCCCTCCCTGCCCCAGGGAGCCACGTCCTCACACCTGCACCTTTGGCCTGCACCCAGGGGACCAGTGAACGAGCGCATGGCCTACCACGGCTGGCCGCCCTGCACCACCGGCTGGGCCATGGCAAGCTGGTGGAGCACTTATACCTCAAGGCCCTGTAGCTCTGCAACTCGCTGCTGGAGTTCGACGAGGAGACCGTCTATTACGTGAACATGTATCTGGTGCTCGGTGACATCATCTTCTATGACCTGAAGGTGGGTGGCAGGGGTAGGGCACGGGGTGTTCCCAGACCCCTTGGAGTGGGATCTCCACCCACACCCCAGAGGCCTGGGTTCCAGCCTTCCTTAGGAATGGCCCAGTGGCCTCCCTGGAGCTCTGCACCCAGCTGGAGGAGCCGGCAAGGTTAGCAGATACAACCAAGCTCCCAAGATGGCCAGGCCCCACCCTCAAGAACTCAGTCTCAGCCAGGGAGGCTGACACATGAGTGGGCAATGGTGGCCTCTGGGTAAAGAAGGAGGATTGTAGTCAGGGGCCCTCCTGGAGGAGGTGACACCAAACTGAGTCTTGACAGTCAAGTGTCAAGTTGCATTTAACAAAGAAAACAGGGTCGGGAGAAGGACATTTCAGAGGACGGCATCATCCTCACACTGAATCCACGTTGCAAGATCCAACCCAAATCCTGGCGCCTCCTCTAGGAAGCCTGCCCAGGGTGCCAGCCTGCACTGAGTAACTCCTTCCTGGAGTCCCGAGACACCTTGAATCTTCACACCACCCAGGAAGGGTTGGGTGGGACCCCAGTGTCTTACCATTGGGTTCACAGACAGGGAAACCCCAGCTTAGGGCAGGTGTAGTGGGGCGGGGGCCCAGCCAGCCAGGCTGAGACCTTGCTGGGTCGGGTCTGTCTTGAGGGGAGGTGTTGTGCTCCCTCTGCCCCCAGCCCTGCAGGGGTAGAGAGCTGGGACTGGCAGACTCAGACCTGGGGTGTCTCCACCCCTCTGCCCAGCAGGCACGACCCCTCCTCAGCATCGCACTGGCACCTCGTCAGTGCTCCTTAGGGGCTGAGAGGCCAGGGCACTCCAGTCCAGGGGCCAAAATCTTGGGGGCCTTAGAACAACATGAGGAGCTGGGGCAGCCCTAAGACCCTGCCCCGTATCCCCCACCACAGGCTTGGGGCTGCCCGGGAGGCCCTTGCCCAGTGCTGGCGACACCTGGTGATCAGAAGTGGTCCCTGTGGCCTCCCAAGTCCCAGCCAGACAGGGAGGTGCCAAGTGTCAGACCCAGAGGGACACTGCTCACTGCCAGGGTCTCTCCTGGGACCCAAGGGACCGACCTCCCAGAAGAGGCCTTTATCTCACTTGGTCAAGCCTGCCGCCCACTCCCCCTGTCCAGGAGAAAGGAAAGGGCCAAGTAGTACCTGAAAGGCCAAAGTCCACGGTTGGGGTCGAGGGGCAGAGGCCTCCTTCACCTCCTTCCCATGCACAGCCCTCTGGGCCTCATCGTGACTATGCTGTCAGCGCAGGCCAGCTTCCCACAGGGAGGCCCCCTCAGAATTCCCCAAGGGCGGCTGTCTTTCCAAGGCTACACCCTCCTCCTTGTATAGGAGACCCTGGACCCAGGACCCAGAGGAGTGGGAGAAAAAGCCGGGCTGGATGGGGCCTGGAAGGCTGGCAGAGAAGCAGAGGTAAATGGGCATCTTTGCCGATTGCCTCTAAAATGGGGTCCCCTTTAGTCTACACGTGAGAGTGAGCCCTGGAATAGGGTGGATTAGATGTGTCCTGGCTCAGCCTGCTGCTCATTAGCTGCTTCACACACTACAGGCACATGGAAATGCACACGCAAATGCACATGCACACACAGGCGCCCACACACAGACACGTGCACACACACAGGCACACAAACACGCACAGGCACACACACAAGCACACGCAGAGACATATGCTTTGGCTGGCTCCTTCCTGTTTAGTTGGGAAGCCCCCACCCCTTCAGGAAGCCTTTGCCTTCCATCCCTGGCTGAGTCTGGGGTCTCCTGGGCTTCCCTCTGCCACAGCCCGGGCCACCCTGTGTGGTCAGTGTTCACTCCCAGGTCCCTCAGACTGGGATCAAGGACGTTAGGCTCAGCCACACACCCAGCACAGAGTCCAGTGTTCGGCTGGGCGGGGCCATTGGATGAGCAGTGGCGGTGACTCGGGACCTTCTCACGCCCCTGCTCTGTGTGTGGGGCGGGGCAGTGAGGGAATGGACTGCTGCATCTTGGACTTTCTCATTGGCCCTGGGAGCCATCTTGAGATGGCAAAGAGGAACAGGCCAGGCATGGGTCTTAGAGAGGTTCCTTGGGTGACCCCCATGTGGAAGAGGTGCCGGGTGGGGGATGGGAGGGTCAAGGAGGAGGTCTGGGAGACGGCATCCCAACCCAGGGATGGTGAGTTTGAGCCAAAGATGCATTGAAAACAGGAGTGGATGTCTGGGGAGTCACACTCCATCAATATTTCAGGGATCATTGCCAGGGAGGACACCTGTGAGATGGTTTTGTACCTGGCCTGTCCCGTGGAGGGCCTGGAAATGGTCAGTATGGACAGGGGCCAGAGGGGAGCCTGGGTCACTCAACGCTGTGCCCCTGCTGTGGCTTGGAGCCACGAGTCCTGCATGGAACTGTCAGAGCAGGCAGGATCTGCCCTGACCTCAGCCCATGGGGAAAGCAGCCACTGCCTCAGAGAGGGTGGCACGGGGCAGGAGGCTTGGGGTGAGTGGGCGTAGGGACACTCAGGAAGGCTTCCAGGGGTGTCAGGGTCATCCCCACCTCCTGCAGCTGAGACCACAGCAGTGTCACAGGCTTCGGGGCTCATGGGGTGAGCCAGCATTGGCTGGACATGTGGAATGACCTGGAGACAGGAACGGCCTCTGGGAAGACGGGCTCCGAGTCCCCCTTTTGCTGAGCATGGCCTGTCCCCTTCAGGACCCGTTTGATGCAGCCGGGTACTACCAGCTGGCCCTGGCAGCCGCCATGGACCTGGGCAACAAGAAGGGCACAGCTGAAGACCTACACGTGGCCGGCCACCATCTCCCACAACTTCCTCCTGGACCGTGAGAAGTTTATCCTCTTCTACCAGAAGGCCAGGACCTTCACCACAGAGCTCAACATCCGCAGGGTCAACCTACCTCCTCTGCCACTCTGCGGGTGGGCCCCCTGGTTGGCCCTCAGCCACCCTCGCTGAGGACAGCATCCAAGGGAATGGGTTTTGTGCAAGGAGGATGGTCTCCTGCCTCTCCTGGTGTCTCCGTGGCTCATTTTCTGGGAAATGGAGGCATGAAAGCAGGGTTCAAATAGCAATAATGTTTTTTTTGCAATAACATACCGAAGTCCCCAGGGCATCCTTCTCTGTGTGCTTCCTGGGCTGTGTCTAGGGGCCAGCTCCTTCCCTGGTGACAGCTCTCTGATCTTCGGGATGAGAAGGACCCTGAGTCCAACAGACCTGGCCAGGTCACCATGAGCCTCGGTTCCTCGCGGCCAGATGGGAGATGGTGGTGGAACTCCCTGGGCAGCTCCCTGCTCTCCCTGCTCAGAGCTCTTACTGTACGTCTCGTGCCGCCGTTGCCTTTAACCTTCAGGCCACTGTGATCGGATGTGGGGGCTGCTAGTGTCCCTGTTCACCATTGAAGAAATAGAGGCACAGAGAGGTTAGGTGTCTGGCCCACCGTCACACAGCAGGTAGGGGCAGACACGCAGAGCCCAGTACACTGACCACCACACCACCCTGCCAGCCTGTAGCCTGGATGGTGTCCCCCATTGGACCCAAAGTCAGCTCCTGGACCTCTCTTGTGGTGTCAGGAGAGCCACAGGCCAGTGAGGGTGGCGACGGGGATCCCTCACTCAGTGTCCTCTGCTCTCAGACTTGGTTGGGCCGAGCCTGGCCAGTCCCACCTCTGGCCACTGGTCAGCCCTGCAGGAAGTGAGATGCAGGGTTCTCCGCCTGTGTAGACGCTGCTACCCAGTATTGAAAGCCTTATCTGGGCTGACCCCAGCCATCCCCACATGCCCCTCCCCTTCCGGCCCCTGGCCCTCATCCTAGTCCCAGGAATCCCAGGTTTTCCTTCTTGGAATCTCTTGGCCCCAGGGAACACGGCTCACACGGTCTCTTTGCCAGTTTACGCAAGAAAACCGAGGTTCAGAGACTATGGGTGTCCCACGTGATTCTCACATACACTGCACTCTCCCAGGCCCCTTTTTTACACACTTTAAATGAGGTGACTTTCACATCGCATGCAATTAACTATTTCAACGCAATTAATGTGGTGGCATTTGTGCATTCACAGTCCTGTGCAACCACTCTCGCCATCTAGTTTCAAAATGTATTCATCTCCCCAGAAGAAACCTCCCATCCTCACTAAGCAGTTACCCCTTCTTGGTATCCCCCAAGCCCCTCGTTTAACGGAAGGGGAAACTGAGGTCCGGAGAGAGACTTGCCAGTGGGCGGAGCTCTGATAATAAGGAATCAGGCACCCATCTGCTGGTTCAGTCCTGGGTTGGTTTTCCACCCAGCAGAGGTGACAGAATCAAGAGGTTCTGGGACCCCATGCTTGCAGCCAGAGCCCTACCCTGAGCCTCCCCACCAGGGGGCAGCAGAGAGCTTTCCAGAACCGGCCCGGGGCTGGCGGGAAGCAGCAGCTCAGAGCTGCTGACAAACCTCATGTAGACCCCAGATCGCCGTCTCTGTGGGTTGGGCTTGGGAATTGGAGAGGAGGCCGCATGATTGGAAACGTGAAGACAGCACGGCCTGGCTGGAGCAGCTGGAAGCGCCGTCACGTTGACTGAGGACACAGACCTCCTGCCTACTGGGCCGGGCCTGCAGCCATTCTTCTCGGGGTGGGGTCCCCGACCTGCCTCAGAGTCTGGGGAGCTTTGGAACTCTGCCTCCCCATCTCCACCCACCCTGACTGGTGCCATGAGGGGCCTGGATCCTGGGATCCTGTTCCTCTTGGGCAGCAGAGACTGGGGGACCAGAGGAGATGATGGGTCTTCAAGCCCCACATTCAAACCCCAGCCCACCACTGACAGTCTGGGGGTTCGGGATGAGGGAGTTGATGTCTCTGAGCCCCAGTTTTGCCATCACTAAAATGAGGCCGACATACTGGGGCAGAGTGCCAGTCCCCGGGCTAACAGAGACCTGTTTCCTACTGAAAATACCTCTTACTTCTAGGAACAGCTCCAACAACCACACTAGAGAACACTCTACCCAGGCCAACTTGTCAGAGGCACGTGAACCAGAGCGACTCCATCTTGAATGGGGGCTGGGTAAAGGGATGCTGAGACCTACTAGGCCGCATTCCCAGGAGGCTAGGCATTCTTAGTCACAGGATGAGATAGGAAGTCGGCACAAGATACAGGTCATAAAGACCTTGCTGATAAAGCAGTTTGCAGTAAAGTCGGCCAAAGCCCACCAAACCCAAGATGGCCAGGAGAGTGACCTCTGATTGTCCTCACGGCTCATTATATGCTAATTATAATGCATTAGCTGCTACAAGACACTCCCACCAGCGCCACGACAGTTTACAGATGCCATGGCAACATCTGGAGGTTACCCTACGTGGTCTCAGAAGGGAGGGCAGAAACTCTCAGTTCTGTGAATTGCGCACCCCTTTCCTGGAACACTCATGAATAGTCCAAAACTTGTTTAGCATATGATCAAGAAATAACCATGAAAATGGGCAACCAGCAGCCTTTGGCACCACTCTGCCTATGGAGCAGCCATTCTTTCTTTTCTTTTTCTTTTTTTTTTTTTTTTTTTTGAGATGGAGTCTTGCTCTGTTGGCCGAACTAGAATGCAGTGGCGTGATCTTGGCTCACTACAACCTCCACCTCTTGGGTTCAAGCGATTTTCCTGCCTCAGTCTTCCTAGTAGCTGGGATTACAGGCACCTGCCACCACGCCCAGTTAATTTTTTGTATTTTAGTGGGGACAGGGTTTTGCCATGTTGGACCAGGCTGGTCTCGAACTTCTCACCTCAGGCGATCCACCTTCCTCGGCATCCCAAAGTTATAGGATTACAGGAGTGAGCCGCTGCGCCCAGCCAGAGTAGCCATTCTTTTATTCCTTTTCTTTCCTAATAAACTTGCTTTCACTTTATGGACTCGCCCGGAATTCTTTCTTCTGTGAGATCCAGGAAACCTCTCTTGAGGTCTGGATCGGAACCGCTTTCCAGTAACAAACTTGCTTAACCTCTCAGACCCTTCGTCTCTTCATCTGTAACCAAAGACAAAGCCTCCCACGAGGTTCCAAAAGTGTGGAGAGAATGCATGGGAAACGAGGGGCACAGAGTTGGTGTGCAGAACCAATATCACAGACTGGGTGTCAAGCCACTGTCATACTGGAAGTAATATCATGCTCTCCCCCACAAGTTATGAGGAACAATATCATAGGGGGGTGTGTACCTTCTCCGGTAGTGGGAGTAGTATCATCATCTCTTCCTTTAGATGACAGAAACAATATCACAGGTAGGTGTACACCCCGTGTGTTTTTGGAAGCAATGTCATTCTCTCTTCTTCTAGGTTTTACGATTCATATCACAGGTGGGGTGTACACCCCTTATTATATTGGATGGCGTCTCATCCTCTTTCAACCTGTATCTTTAGAACAATATCCCATGGGGGTTGTATATCTCTTCAATATTGTTAGTAATACCATCTTCTCCTTTCCTGGATATAAGAAACAATATCACAGGAGGTGTGTACACCCCTTGCAATGTTGGTAGTAATATCATCTCTCCCCTGTGGTTATTAAGGACAAAATCCCAGGGTGGCTGTACGGTTCCTACTTTATTGGGAGTAATATCATCCATTCACCCCCTGGATATCAGGAACCATATCACAGAAGAGGTGTCCACCCCTTCGATATTATCACCCATGTCATATTCTTCCGCCTGGATATTAGGAACGATACCCGGGGTTGGGGCGGTGTACACCCACTGCGATATCGAAAGTAAAATCAGCCTCTTTCCCGCTGGATATTAGGAACTCTATCACAGGTGTGGGCGCACCTTCTGGGATATTGGGAGTACTATCAGCCTCCACACTGCTGCATATTAGGAACAACATACAGGGGGCAGGGTGGTTACACCCCCTGTGATATTGAGAGCAATATTCTGGTCTTACCCCTGTACATTAGAAACTACATCACAGGGGTCTGTACACCTTCAACGATATTGGGATTCATGTTATCCTCTCCCCCACTGAATGTCAAAAACGATATCACATAAAGGTGTACACCCCCTGCGATATGGCCAGTAACATCATCGTCTCTACCTTTGGATACTAGGAACAACATCACGGAAGGTGTGTACACTCCACTGCAATATTGGGCATAATGTTATCCTCTCTTCCCCTGGATATTAGAAACGATATCCCTGGTGGAGGGAGATGGAGTACATTAAGAACAACATCACTGGTGGGTGTACTCCCCCTGCGATATTGGGTGTAGTATCATCCTCTCTTCCCTAGGATATTAAGAATAATATCACAGGAGGGGTATACAGCCACAGTCCCTGTGTTATTGGGAGTAATAGTGTCTTCTCCCACTCTAGATATAAGGAAAAATATCCCAGGGTTTGTGTACATCCCTTGTGATATTGAGTATATTGTCATCGTCACCCAACATGGATATTGGGTGCAGTGTCTCAGGGGGTGTACACCTTCTTCGATATTGGGAGTAATATCATCCCCTCCCCACAGGATCGTAGGCTAAATATCGAAGGGGTTTTACCACTGGTGCGATATGGGCAGTAATATCATGCTATCCCCACCTGGATGTTAGGAACTATATCACAGGCGGCTATACACTTCTTGGCATATTGGGAGTCTTATCATCCTCTCCCATCTTGGATATTATGAAAAATATTAGAAACGAGGTGTACACCTGCTGAGATATTGAGAGTAATATTATGCTCTCCTCTTTGGGATATTAGGAACAATATCGCAGGAGGTGTGTGCAAACCCTGCGATATTGGGAGTAATATCATTCTCTCCCCTTGAATATAAGAAACAATATCACAGGAGGATGTACTCCCCCTGTGATACTAGGAGTCATATCATGTTGTTTGGAACAATAGCACAGTGGGTGTGTAAAATCCCTGCGATATTGCCACTAGTATTATCTTCTCCATCCCAGGATATAAGGAACAATATCACAAGGTGATGTACACCCCTGTGATATTGGGGGTAATATCTTCCTCTTCCCTGCTGGCTTTTACTAATATCTTCCTCTCCCCGGCTGGATGTGAGGGAAAATATCACAGTGGAGATCCACGCCCCTTGCGATATTGGGAGTAATATCATCCTCTCGTACCCTAG